CGGCGGCTGTTGCAGCGGCAGAAGAAGAGACACCAGGGGAGAGGCAGGAGGCGAGAACTGCACCGCGGGGCCACGAGATTCAGCCGACTCCTCGACCGGGACAACCGACGACAGAGGAGTGATGTGAGACACACTAGATGGAGCAGGACGGAGAGGGAGGGGAGCAGGGGCTACCGGGGGAGTGGGAACCAGAAACAAGGGTGGGGAAACCGGGAGACCTTGGTGGGGAAAGCGACGGTAAAAGGAGACAGACTCGTCGAAATTGTCTTCACGCGAGTGAAGGAAGCGGTGAGACGGCGGGTGGTAAAAGTGCCAATCAGAAGAGTCAAGGGGGAAACCAAGGAAGACAGAGGGGACAGTGCGAGCAGTGAGCTGGTCTGTGCCAGAGGCACAAACGTGAGCAAGGCATCCCCAGACGTGGAACGCAAATGCGTCACCAGGAGACCCAGTCCGGAGGAGGGTCGGTGAAACCTGCAGCCGCTGGGAGTGGGGCCACAGGTTCAGCTGGTGAGCGGCGTAGTGAACATCGAACGGCCACAAAAAATGGGGTGCACCGGCATGGATCATGGAGGTACGAGCCATCTCCATGACCAAGCCGATGCGTTGCTTAGCGACCCCATTCTGCTGTGGGGAGTCCGGCAGGGTGTACGATTGGGTGATACCCTCCGCACGACAGAACCGGCCAAGCCGACCGGAGGCAAACTCGCCGCCGCAGTCGGAGAGAAGACATAGCACGGGGAGACCTCGGCAGACTCGCGTAGCTACGACCCACAGGATAAGAACGTCAGGCACGTCGGTTTTCTGCTCCAGAAGAAACACCGTGGTGTAGCGCGTGTAGTCGTCGACAAGCACCAGGAAGTTGCGCTCACGACGCGGCCCACGGACGGGGGCTAGACCCCAGATGTCCAGGTGCAGGGTCTGGAGTGGCGTGGTGGCAGGGCGAAGCGAGGAGGAGTGAAGTGCACAGAGCAGCTCGCCCTCGACACAGGGCGTGCACGGCGGTGCAGGTGAGGGAGGGAGGGAAGGGAGCGACGCAGGGAGACCTAGGACAAGACCGTGCTGGGACATGTGACGCGGATGTGGGAGTACAGGGTGACCTAGGCGGTGGTGCCACAGCAGCGACGGATGAGTGAGGGACCGACACGAGCAAGCCGCCGCTACCTGGGGGGACGCGCTGTCAAGCGTAAACAGGCTGGGCACAGGGTCCCGGGGGAACGTGGTCAGAGGAGCACCAGTGGCGGTCTCGGTGCAGACCGCGTACCACTCGTGTCCGGGGAACGTAGTGGTGACGCCGAGGTCCTGAAGACAGTCGACACCAACTAGGGGGATGTGCAGGCATGTAAGAGTGCCCGAGGGGACCACCAGACAGGGAAGGGTGGTGGAGCTACGTGCAACTACTGGACATGAGGAAGGGGTCTGCAAGTGCGACAACGGCAGGGGCGGCAAGCGGCGTAAGGGAAGTGTGGTCGCGGAAAATGCAGTTAGTCGCACCAGAGTCAAGCGTGAAGGAGAGTGAAGCGCTAGCGGCAGCCGGCGGAGGGGCTAGCGTGGAGCCTAGGCTAAACAAGGCAGACGGTCCTACGCCTGACGCAGCATTGGAACCTAGACTACACACAGTGGACACACCTACGCTAGGCAATACCGGGTAATAGGGTCCAATCACACTAGAGTCATCAGCATACATGACAGACAGAGCATTCCTAATCTGATCCATGTCAAGGTCAAAGACCGGCACACGATAGCGAGCCAGGGCGTACCAGTCCGAAGGGTCCGACGCAAGACCGAAGCGGTGGCAGAACAGGTCGTCCAGGCGGTGCTAGTAGCGGTCGGTAGTGTGGCTGGGCTAGAGGCAGACAGTGCCATGGTGAGGGCCGGTCTGAAGCTGGTACTGCCAGGTGCCAGCCGACACCGAGCTGCGCCCGCCCCCCCCACGACCACCGCCGCTAGTGCCGCCAGTCCACCACGGCGACGGGGGTACCCACGGCGACTGCTACTGCTGCGACGACTGCGGCAGTGGCTGCTGGGTCTGCTGCTGAGGCTGCGTCTGCTGCTGCGACTGCTCTGGGGCACCAGCCCCGGTCCCCTCGTCTGAACCACCGTCCCCGCCCTCACCGCCGCCACCCTCCCCACCGCCACCCCCCTTCCCCCCACCACGCCCCCATTTGGGGCGGCGACCCTTATCTGGACGCTTCTGCGTTGAGGCCGCAGCAGCGGTCTCAGCAACATCAGCAGAGACATCAGAGTAAATGCACTGGGAGGGAGCACAGCCCTGAAAGATAGGTACCGCCGCAGTACCGCTAGACTGAGAGATACTGCGCTGGCGGGTCTCTATCTCAGACAGGACAGTGACAAAGGCAGTGAGAGAGAGGTCCCCCGGGTGCTGACTAAGGAAGTGGTCGCGGGCTGTGGCTAGGCAATCAGGGAGGCGCGCGACGATGAGATCAAGGGTAGCGCAGAAGGGCGGCGGGAAGGCAGTGAGCTGTGCCTTAGTGCTAGCAGCGTCGTAGCTTGTCTCAAGCGCGCGGAGGTGCGTGGCAAATTCGGCGACAATGGGGAAGGACGCAAGATCAGGGAACAGCATGGGAAGGATTAGGCGACCAGCAGAGGTAGTGGCGGGGGTGGAATAGCGCGCAATGACAGCATCTAAGAAGGCTTGGGCGTTCACTAGGGTGGTAAAGCGAGGACGCTCAGACAGCGGGAGCGCATGGCTGATAGCAAGCTGTGCGATAGCGTCGCGCGAGTCCCAGATGGCACGAGCAAGCGCAGCAGCGGAAAGGAAAGCAAGCTCGTACTGGCGGTCCTCCAGGACGTCACTGCCGAGGGCAGGAGCACCCCCGACAGACGGAGGACAGGCAGGTTCGGAGACCAGAGCGGTGGCGTAGTCAAGGCGACGGGTAGAGGCGAAGTCAGCGACCGCATAAACAAGAGCGTCAAGACGCGAAACCGGAACAGACGGGTTGGTAACGAGAGAGGCAAGGACCCGAGGAACAAGAGGACGAGCGGCACGAAGGTAGTCAGACAGAGGGGGAGGCACAACAACAAGGGAGAACGGAGGAGGCGACGGCAGGAAGGGAGGACGAGATGCGTGGGAACGAAGCAATTTAGGGTGATAGCGCGGGACAGGGGAGACGGGGCGAGCACGGGAGGGACGGCGAGACCAGGCGTGAGACGGAGGAGTCGGGTCAGGAGACAGAGGAGGGGACACCGGAGGGGAACGAGGGGAAAAACGAGCCGGAGTTGAGTCCGGGGGAGGGAACACAGGGCCGTAGATAGGGAGAGGAGGAGACGACGGGGGAGGCACAGACGCAGGGTCACAGGACGGAAGGCCGAGCGGGCGAAGGGCGGACACCGGCGGTGACTGCTGCTGCGGCGGCACGGCACCAATTCCGGGACCGCAAGGTGCTCCACGGCTACCTCCGGAACACTCCTCTCCTGCACCCCCAGAAGGAACACCCCTAGAGCCCGAAGTCCCTCAAGCACCGGTACCACCCCCAGGCCCGCCAGGACAAGCCACGACAGGAACCCCAGTACTAGGATCCACCCCAATGCCAGCACCCCCAGAGTCAACGAACTGCTGCTGCGACGGCTGCGGCGACGGCGGCTGCAACGACGGCTGCGGCGGCGGCGACGGCGGTGACGGCAGCTGCGAGAGCAGTGGCGACGGCGGCTGCGGAGGCGGCGGAGGCGGCGGAGGAGCAGACACCTGGGAAGGGGCAGGCGGCGAGGACTGCGCCGCAGGACCACCAGCGTCAGCAGACTCCTCGACCGGGACAACCGACGTGAGGGGGGTGACGTGGGACACACCAGACGGTGCAGGACGGGGAGGGGGAGGGGGAGGGGCAGGGGCCACCGGGGACGGGGGGACCAGGAACAGGGGGGGAGTAACTGGGGGACCACGGTGGGGGAAGCGACGGTAGAAGGAGACGGACTCATCAAAGGCGACGTTGCGGGAGTGAAAGAACCGGTGAGACTGCGGGTGGTAGAAGTGCCAGTCGGACGAGTCTAGGGGGAAACCGAGGAAGACACAGGGGAGGGTGCAGGCAGTGAACTTGTCCGTGCCAGAGGCACGAACGTGGGCAAGGCAGCCCCAGACGTAGAACGCAGACGCGTCACCAGGAGACCTGGTCCTGAAGAGGGTCGGCGAAACCTGCGGCTGCTGGGGGTGCGGCCACAGGTTAAGCTGGTGAGCGGCGTAGCGAACGGCGAACGGCCACAGAAAATGGGGTGCACCGGCACCTCCATGACCAAACCGATGCGTCGCTCAGCGACCCCATTCTGCTGCGGGGAGTTCGGCAAGGTGAACATCTAGGTGATGCCCTCCGCACGACAGAAACGACCAAGAACGCCGGAGGCAAACTCGCCGCCACGGTCAGAGTGGAGACGCAAGACAGGAAGACCGCGGTGGACAAGCGCAGAGACAAGCCACGGGATGAGAACGTCAGGCACGTCGGCCTTCCGCTCAAGGGGAAAGTCGGTGGTGTAGCGGGTGTAGTCGTCGATAAGCACTAGGAAGTAGCGCTCTTGACGCGGCCCATGGACGGGGGCGGGGCCCCAGACGTCCATGTGCAGGGTCTGTAGCGGTGCGGTGGTAGGGGGGAACGAGGAGGAGTGAGGGGCACAGGGGAGCCGGCCCTCGACACAAGGCGTGCACGGTGGTGCTGGGGAGGAGGCCGACCCGCTATCAACAAGCTCTTTTAACTTAGTGGTTAGTGGCTGAGTTCAGACAATATGTTGACATGGGAGTGTGCAGAGCAGTCACACATTACCATGGGCTATATGTCTCTGTCGTGGCAAGGTTTTGCATGTTGCCACCTCCAATGTGGCCAGCATGGGGCAAGTGCACATGGCTCGTACTGGGCTGACCATGGCCCAGTGCTGTGTGACTGCACATGCTGGAGAAGGCATCGGACAAGCTATCACGCTTCACACATCGTATCACATCACAGTGCTGTTGTGTGGAGCTAAGCGTGATAACTGGACTGAAGCATGTGGATGTGTAAGGCTTGAGGCAAAGTCATGAATGATAGCAGTACTATAATATGTAATACCATATTAAATACACAGATGTCCTAAGCAACATCATGAGAGGGTACCAGTAGGCAAGTGTAGTTTTCTGGCACTCTTGCCGGTGCCGGTAGCAAGATGTGCGTGGAGGCAGCCGCAGCTGGCGTTATGGAAGGTGGGGGACGGACGGGACGTGGTGATCTCGTCATTCCACGTTGAACTTGACCAGCGGCGGGCCCACGGGGATGACGGGCTTCTTGATGAGCGAGTTCATGAGGCACGCGAACGAGTAGTACCACGCTGCACCGGGCATGGCGGACAGCACGAGGGGACAGGTCAGACTCGGCCGATACGGCGCGTCACACAGTGATCGCAACGAGCGCAAGGCGCGAGGCGAGGAGACAACGTGCAAGGGACAGCGCAGAGGCACGGGGGCGACAGCGGAGGCAGCGGGCAGGGGCGGGGGGAGGACGTACCGGCGATGGAGGTGAATAGGCCGATGTAGCCGCCCGCCATGGTCCAGGAGGCGGTGAGGCCGGCGGGTTGCCCCTTGAGGTGGCCGACGAAGAGGCAGAGCAGCGTGAGCTCGAGCAGGAAGAAGACGACGACCTCCGCCACGCACATCATGAGCGACGCCGCGAGCACGTACGTGTTGAACAGAAAGAACGCCAGCAGAAACCACCCCACCGCGTCCAGCAGCTCCGCCATCGTCTCTTTGGGCAGCTGCGCGCAGGGGGACGCGCGGAAGGCACGTGGGGGGAACAGGCGGAGGGGAGAAGGGATGAGAAGAGTGCAGTGGGGAGGGATGAAGGGGAGGGGGCAGGCGGAGCGGGTTGTGGTGAATTCCGATGGCGGGAGGGAGAACGCCAGTGCGCCCGTTTGCTCGGTTCATTCGTTTCTGCGTGCTTGCGGTGCTCATCCCAGGCTCGATTGCTTTCTTCGACCATGCGACTCTACTGCTTGCGCGCGTATGCAGCACTGCCTTTGGATTTATAAAAAAATCCCTTCTACTCAAAAGCTCGCACTGGGAGAACAGGTGGCATGCGGCGGTGGCGGCACTCACGAGTTTGGAGATTTCGAGGATCTTGAAGAGCGCGAGCGACATCCAGAAGCAGCCGTAGGTGGAGAAGGCGGTGGCCGTCATGGTGCAGTTGCGCTTGAACTGCCACATCCCCGCCAGCAGCTGCCCCAGCCCGCCGTAGAACAGCGCCATTCCGATCCAGATGAAGTCCGGCGCCCACCCTGCGGGGGGAAGCGCGAGGGAAGGGGGGAGAGCGTTGGAACGAGACACTGCGACGATTAGTCAGGTCAGGAGATTGGCAGGGGAACGCGTCCAATGGCGGAAGGGTGATTCAGGCGAGGGCACACGAGAGGGGAGCAACCGCACTCGACACGGCAGCAGGCGCAAGGGCGCGCGACGGACCGGCGTTGAAGGCGGACATGACGTAGGTGGTGCACGCGAACGCCGCGAGCCCCAGCGGCCGGCCGTCGGCAGTGGGCTTCCACTGGCTGGCGATGCGGATCTCATCGGGCGCGCCGTCCTCCAGACCCATGCTGCGACGATGGCTGCTCTACGCGGGCAAAAAAAACCTTCGTCAGGAAGTTAACGCTTTCGAGAGCTCTACGCGCGGTTGATTACACGGAGTCCGAGTAGTCGGTAGTTCTAAACTTTCTGTTGGCGGCTGAGAAGAAGGAAAGCTGAAGGGATGAACCGTTGAAACTGTGTTAGTGTTGGAGACAAGGGAAGGTGGAGGCAGGCAGAAGATAAAAAGCAAGACCAAGGTTGGAGTGGAGAGATGCAGCAGTGCGCTTCCCCCCCCCCCCTCCCCCCCACAACAACAGCGTTTTGCCCAAGCGCACGAAGCGGATGTTTTGGCTCGCGCGGCGGTTCTGGTTCGGTTCGGGACCAACCAGGAACTGCTCAGCGCAGCACCAAACCAAACCAAACCGGCCCCCGGGAATGAACGGCGACGCGGTTTGGCCTTTCGCTCACGCATCAAACCCCAACTACCACCATTTTGCCAATGGTGGTGCGTGCGCGAATCCCGTGCCAGCGCACGAGACTTGCTGCCACGTGCAGTATCCAGCTAAGGTTGACAGCGCGGCATTGGCTTTTGATGGTGCGACTGTGTCCAAGAAACGCTGATGTAATTGGTTTGACTTTTTTGACGCTTCGAGGTTGGTGAACCCCAACCATTCGTCCCTAAGCCACTGACGCGTGTAACGCATCTGCCCAGGAGGTCATCCAGCGGGAAGGAGCACGTGGATTCTGACACCTGTCTGCGGCGCCGCGTATGCAAAAGCCCACCGATTGACGGGGAAATGTGGTAAGTTGTCCCAGCAGATGGAATATCTGTTGCTGACACGAGGAGCCCACCAACCAAACCGACATCGAGTGCTTTGTTGCGCTGGAAGAAGCCCACAGATCTCGGGACGAGGCAAAGAGCGTCAGGTTCGGTTCGGTTACGCGCCAGCACAGCACGCAGGGCCAGAAGAGCGGGAAATGTGCGGAGGTCTGGGAGGTTGCGGAAACCATTTGGTGCGCAGAGCGATGAAGAGGTGCGAGCTTTGCGCACCTGCTGCTCATTCAGCTTCATCGCATACATCTGTGCCTTGTTGCTCCATCCTGCATTCACCTCCAACTCAAGTTCACATCACACGTCCCAACACGCCTCACTAAGCGGTTTCTGGATCTTTAATAGCATTATCCTTCAGAATTTTCGACCGACAGTAGTTTAACCAGCTGTACCGACGTTCATCGCACAGCACAACAGCACGCCATGGCAGACTCGTGCGGCTACAGAGCGCTGATCGAACCAGAGAAAATCGCCAATCCCGCTCCACTGGGCCTCGCGTCCTTCGCGCTGACGACCTTCGTTCTGTCGGCCCACAACGCAGGTACGCAGCACGTAGTGCCGAGAGCGAGCTCCTCGGCTAAAAGACGCAACACGCAGCCGTTTCCGACTTGTCACAGAAACCCTAAGCAGAAACATCAACAGTTTCCCCGCAACCTGCGCCAAGCATTGTGTTTCCTTTCCCCCCGGCCCCCCTTGCTCCGCAGGGTGGGCGCCGAACCACGTGTGGATGGGGTTGGCGCTGTTCTACGGGGGCGTGGGGCAGATCCTGGCGGGCATGTGGGAGTTCAAGCACGACAACGTCTTCGCCTGCACCGCCTTCACGTCGTTCGGCTGCTTCTGGATGGGCCTCGCCACCTTCATCCTCCTCGAACTCCTCGGCTGGGTAAGCCATCCCGCACCACAAGCCGCTCGCGCCCATCCCTCTCCCTCTCTCTACATCCCGCGCCTCCGCTGCGCCTCCGCTTTCCGCCTTGCTCCTCCCCGCCTCGCTCCGCCGTGCACCTTCGCGGCGTCTACCCGTCGCGCAGCGCTGCGTCTTCCAGCCCGCTGTCGCTCTACCCCAAGCCACACATGCGTCCGCTCCTCCTCCCGCTCACCGCCAGTCTGGTCCGGCCCCCCATCCTCGCCCCCTGGCCGTTCCTCCTCCCCCGGCAGGTGCCGAAGGAGATAGTGGCGAACGCGCTGGGGTGGTACCTGTCGGCGTTCCTGGTGTTCAACACGTACATGTTCCTGGCGACGCTGCTCATGCCCAAGACCGTGTGCGTCACCTTCTTCCTGCTCGAGGTCACCTTCGTGCTGCTCGTCGTCGCCAACTTCACGCCCGCCAACAAGAACTGGAACAAGGCCGGCGGTTACGTCGGCGTCTTCACCGCCATCTCAGGTGCGTCTTCACATGGCTTAAATGGTTGGTGGGTTTGACGCATGGCTCATGGAACTAAAAGGTGCAATTCAGAAACAGGCATAGGGTTGTGGGGCCCAACCCGCGTCAGATGCACAGGGTTAATCACTTCCTTGACGCTCATGCACTTCCTTCCGCGTCCAAAATGTGAGGGGGAGAGCAAACATTTAAGCAGGGGTTGTGGGAGGAGTATATCGAACCTCGTTGAAAGTGTGTGATATGTGGCACTGCGGCATTGATGTGTGTGCGTGCAGCGGGAGTGACGTCCATGGTGGCGCTCATCAACACCGTCGCCAAGCGCAAAGTCATCGACACCGGCAGGCCCTTCGTTGACTTCGGCCAAGAGATGTAGCGCCTAGAAACGATGCATGAGCACCTGCGCATGGTGCCACCCATAAACCTGTTCCTCCGCAGATTGATGTAGGAGCCTCATGCAAGCTCCATCCTTTTGTGTTCATTACTTTATACATAATATTGCTTATATTGCCATATAATATCACTGTACCGTATGATGGGCGTTGTGCAGGGTGTTAAAACATGAGAATTTTTTTGTAATGAAAATTTTACAGATTGTGATTCGACTAGAAGAGGAGTTTGCTGTAAAGGAGACAAACTCCTTCATCTATCGGCAGGTCTTTCAGACCTGCCACCTAGTCTCATTTGCATTTTTCTGTTCCAACTTGCATACCACCAGCACACTCTAAACCTCTCTTATGCCCAGATCTGGGCAAGGGAGTCTCTTGCTGCAAGACGTTTTTTCTGTTAGATTTTCTACAATGGTCAGCATGTCAGAAACTAGCTTAGCTAGGAAGCCATAGAATGGCACAAGGTTTAGCTAGGAGCTAGTAGGAGGAGCCATGAGAATGGCGAGAGGTTTTAGGTGCTAGGAAAGTTGAGGAGAGAAAAGGTGTTGGATTAGAAGAGAGGGGAGTACAAGGAGGGGTTTGTACCCCCTACAGAAAGGTTCAGTAACAACCTACCAAGCCTATATTAAATTATAACTTATATAATTTGAACACACCCCCTAGGCTTGGTAGTCACATGCCCACACACACCCACACCCCCTAACCTAGCACCCCCATTCCAGCCACAGTGACAGCGACTCTAGGTCGGTCGACCCCACGGCGCGTGAGGCGGCGACGTCGACCGCAGGGGCTGCGGCGGCGACGGCGGCAGCGGCGGCAGTGTCGACAGCGGCGGCGGCGGCGGCGGCGTGCGGCTGCGTGGCCCCGACGCAAGCGGCGACAGCGGCGGCGGCGGCGGCTTCGACAACAGCGGCAGCGGCGGCGGCACCCGCACCTCTCGGTGACGTGGCCAGGCCCCGCGACGGTGGGACGGCCGGCGGGAGTCAGCCGTCGTCTGCGGAATGGAAGAGGGCACAAGGGAAGGAGGGGGGTGGGGGGGGGGGGGCGCCACAGGCTGACATGCGGGCGGCCGGTCTAGCGGCGCCACAAGCGTCACGCGGCCGGCTGCAGCCCGACGACGCCGTCATGGAGCGGCGTCGATGCCGCAGCGGGGCGTCGACGTTGCGACGGCAGCACGACGTCGCCGTTACGCCGACCGCGTGCTGTCGCGTAGACGCCGCGGCAGCGTGACGGCGCCGTCACGTCGCGACAGCATCTTGACGCGACGGCGGAGCTGCGGCACGACGGCGCGGCCACAGCAGCTGGTCGCGGGCGCCATGGACGTCGACGGCGGCGCCGCGGCACGACGACGCGGCCACAGCAGCTTGACGCGGCCGCCATGGCAGCGCGAGATAGAGAGAGAAACGAGCACGCAGCGGAAACGCGAGGAGCAGGCCCACGCGGAACGAACTGCTCTAATACCATGTCAGAAACTAGCTTAGCTAGGAAGCCATAGAATGGCACAAGGTTTAGCTAGGAGCTAGTAGGAGGAGCCATGAGAATGGCGAGAGGTTTTAGGTGCTAGGAAAGTTGAGGAGAGAAAAGGTGTTGGATTAGAAGAGAGGGGAGTACAAGGAGGGGTTTGTACCCCCTACAGAAAGGTTCAGTAACAACCTACCAAGCCTATATTAAATTATAACTTATATAATTTGAACACAGCAGACTTATTTCCGCTGCAAGTGGTAGGCCTCCCGCTCCTCGCGTGAATACTAGGAGTGGTGGAAGGCGTGGGTCCCCTGTACGTGAGGGGTGTCAAACATGTATTATTGATCATGTTTGTATAGACTGTATAGGGTAAGCTCCTAGAGGGTACAACATTTAGGTATATGTGTATGTACTCTCTAACTCTATCATTATTAAAAATTCTAGTTTTGAGATGGTATCACGCGTAGGTTTCGACCCCCCCCCCCCCCCCCCCCCCCCCACCTACCGCTTCCGCTCCTCCCGTCGCGTCTCCTAGCCTAGCCTCGCCCCTCCTGAGCCCAGTCGCGACTCCCCCCCTAGCCCCGTTGCGCTCCTCTCAGGCCTAGTCGCGCCCCTTCCAGAGCGTCGTAGCGCCCCTCCAGGCCCCGTCGCGCCCCCCCCCCCCTTCTAGGGCTCCGTAGCGCTCCTCTCAGGCCCCGTCGCGCTCCTTCCAGGCCCCGTCGCGCTCCTCCCAGGCCCCGTCGCGCCCCTTCCAGGGCTTCGTAGCGCCCCTCCAGGCCCCGTCGCGCCCCTTCCAGGGCTTCGTAGCGCCCCTCCAGGCCCCGTCGCGCCCCTTCCAGGGCTTCGTAGCGCCCCTCCCGGCCCCGTCGCGCCCCTTCCAGGGCTTCGTAGCGCCCCTCCCGGCCCCGTCGCGCCCCTTCCAGGGCTTCGTAGCGCCCCTCCAGGCCCCGTCGCGCCCCTTCCAGGGCCTCGTAGCGCCCCTCCAGGCCCCGTCGCGCCCCTTCCAGGGCCTCGTAGCGCCCCTCCAGGCCCCGTCGCGCCCCTTCCAGGGCTTCGTAGCGCCCCTCCTGGGCTTGGTAGCGCCCCTCCCGGGCCCCCGTCGCGCCCCTCCCTGGGCCCCGTCGCGCCCCTCCTGGGCCCCGTCACACCTGCTCGGCCCCGTCGTCCCAGCCGCTCGGCCCCGTGGCGCCCGCCCGGCCCCTGTTGTACCCGACCGGCCTCGTCACTGCCGCCTGGCCCCGTCGCAGCCGCCCGGCCCCGTCGCAGCCGCCCGGCCCCGTCGCAGCCGCCCGGCCCCGTCGCAGCCGCCCGGCCCCGTCGCAGCCGCCCGGCCCCGTCGCAGCCGCCCGGCCCCGTCGCAGCCGCCCGGCCTCGTCGCAGCCGCCCGGCCCCTCGTCGAGCCTGCCCGGCCCCGTCGCGCCTGCCCGGCCCTGTCGCGCCTGCCCGGCCCCTTCGAGCCTGCCCCGGCCCTACATACTTCCTGGTACTGTCCCTCGTTCCCCGCACCGCTTTGCACCCTCCTGCACTTCCCTGCCCCGCCCTGCACCGCATTGCACCTCACTGGACCGCACTGCACCGCACTGCACCGCACTGGACCGCACTGCACCGCACTGCACCGCACTGGACCGCACTGCACCGCACTGGACCGCACTGCACCGCATTGCACCGCACTGCACCGCACTGGACCGCACTGCACCGCACTGCATCGCACTGCACCGCACTGCACCGCACTGCACTGCACTGCGCAGCACTACACCGCACTCCACCGTCCTACACTGCCCCTAATGGCTGTTGAGCTTCGTTTTGATGCTGAGGGTCAGTGTGAGAGTACGACCCCGTTACACCACTTGGCCTTTTCCCTATTTCCTTTTCCTTCCATTTCTCTTTACCGCATCTCATTTGGTTTCCTATTCTTCCTTTCCCATTAACCTTTGGTTTATCCTGCTATTATAATTATATCACCGACCAGGCATGGAATGTTCTAGACACGCTATCTAGCGTAATGCTGTCGTAATCTCTTAAAGCCAATAGCCTCGCGTGGCTATACGCAGGGTGATTCTATCTTCTAGAAGGGTCTATTCCCTTAGGATAAGATAAACCTGGTTACCTGATGTACTCTGGAAGTATAAAAGCGCCTTGTACTGATCGATAGTGCAACCTTTCCTCGACACATTCGATCCTGTGACACTTGGTATCAGAGCTTTTCTCACTCGGCCGCGCTCAGCTAAGCAGCAGCAGCGGGGGATCCTGCCTCAAAAAACCGCCGGGGGCGACCAATTCGACGCCGATTCTGGTAAGCACCAGCTCCGCGATTTTCGAATTACCCCCTCCGTGCGTGTTTTGAACAGGATGGCAACCTTCGACAACGCCGAGGTTACCCAGCAGCTCTTCGCGCGCATCGCAGCCCTTCAGGAGGAAATGCGAGCGGATCGCGAAGCGTGGCGAAACCAGTTCGAGCGAGTAACTCGACTCGCCGGAGCGCAGCACGAGACGACAACGGCGACGACGCAGCAGTCGCAGCAGTTTCTCGAGGCTCCGAAACCGCGCCCACCTGAGCCGTTCGATCCGAGCGATCGAAACTCCGACGCCCGCAGATGGATCGCCGGGATGGAGATCTACTTCGCAGCCGTCGGATGGAGCTCGCCAGTCTGGGACGGTCAACGTTTACGACTCGCGGCGACACTGATGCGAGGGCCGGCACTCGAGTGGATTGGCGGCAACAGTACTTTCATCCACGGTGAAGCCACGTGGCAGCAGTTCCGCGCCGACCTGCTCAAACGATTCGAGCCGATAAATTCAGGTTTCCTTGCCCGCGAAAAAATTCATCGCCATCGACAGTTCGGGAGTGTAGCACAGTACACGCAGCAGATGGAAGAATTTTATAACCGAATTCCCGACCTGACCGAAGGGGAAAAAGTACAATCGTACCTCGCAGGGCTGAAGACCGAAGTCAAACGACAAGTCGCAGCGTCAAACTACGCGAACTACAGTGACGTCGTTTCGGCCGCGGAGCGCTTCGACATGGTCAACGCCGGAACACGACGGACGCACGTCGGCAGTACACGACAGGGCGACCGCTCGGCTCACACCACGTTCGCCGACCCGATGGAAGTCGACAGATTCGAGGGGCGGCCACGTCCGAAAAACACCAACTACACGTGTGATTTTTGCGGGGTGCCGGGCCACCGAATCTTCGACTGCAACAAAATGAAGGCCGCACGCGCAGAGTATCGGGCACGCAACAGTGGCGGAAATCTTTCGGCCAATCAGAAGACAAAAAACGGGAGTCGCCAGTGATTGCGGATCTAGCTGGCGAAAATAAAAAGATCCGGAAACGGCCGCGGGATTCCGAGAAAATCAACTTCGACGAAGCTGATTCGACGCGAGCAGGAGGAAATGATGGGGGAAAATCTCCACCCCACGACCAGTCTTCGCCAGGGAAAATCGCCGAGGAAAAATACGACTCCGCGAAAAAAGACTCTGCCGAGACAGGGAAACTCCTTGAAGACCCAAGAAATTATAAGAATTCGTTAAAGTTATCTTATAAAGATGCTTTAATGAAAAATTATGATGTTCGAGGGGCTAGAGCCTTGGAGAAATTTCGGGAGGGACTCCAAAAGAAGCAGACAGCTTTGGAGATTATACCGGTACCGGACAACTTGGGGACCAAATTAAGGAGTGTGGAAAGAAGCCGACCTTTCCACGGAGTCAACGTCCTCTCTCGACACCAGCCCACAACGACTA